AAAAAAAAAAAAAAAAAAAAAAAAAAAAAAAAGAAACGGTGATATAATTGGAGAGCAACAACCTATTAACATTTCCGATGAGCGAAGATAGAGATAGAGATATCATATCGGTACGACCGCGATACGAAACGGGGGCGTACGAAATTCAAGAGACAAAGAAATTGTGGAAAGGAATTTTCTTTGATCGATCCCCCTCCTTGCTCCTGTTCCTCGAGGGAGCGAAGAAGAACTCGCCGTCCGGTAATAGTTTCAAGTGCGGATAAACCTCGGGTCAATTAGCGGAAACTAAGGGAGGGAAAGAGATGGTTGGGCGTTCCATCGAAGATTGATCGCCCTTCCAAGTTTCCATTAACAACGTGCTGGAAGATTTTTCAGCGTCAGATTTTTCAATGTGGTGGGGGGAGGGGGAGGGGGAGGGGGGGAAAGGGCCGACAGATCGGTATTACCCGGCAAGCTGGTTACACGCGTGCAAAAAGATGGATACTTACTCCATGGGAACTCTTTACATCGGCTCTTTTTATCCGGCGGTTGGACTCGATCGTAAAAAAAACCGGGTGGTGGTCGATCGAGGCCCCATCCGCGAACCGAAGAAAGGAGGAAACGATAGCGGCCGGGGTTGACGTTAAATTTATGACCGGCTGTAAGCACGGCAACTCTCTCTCTCTCTCTCTCTCTCTTTCCTCATCTTTTTATCACTCCTTCCAAATCCTGCCAAGTGATTTTCATCGGCGGATCGCCCCGGGGGAGGGGAGGGGGAGACGAGAAAACGCGCGCGTGGAATTAATTGAAACGGAAAGCGTCGAATTACCCGCGCACACATACAAGGAATGGGGGAGGGGGGGGGGGGGGAAGGTGATCCGTTACAAAACCTTGGAGAAAAATCGAACTTTTTCGACAATTCCTCGGGGGCTGTTCCCAACAACGCGCGCTCATTAGAACCGGCCGATAATTAAAAACGGCCGAACGAAAAAGCCTACGTGCTACGTGTAGACAGCTGATCCATCGGTACACCTCCCCTCCCTCCTCCTCGTCAGATGATCAAAAAATGGAATTCTTTCTCGTGGAATAGAATTTTTCCTTTTTTCTTTTTGTGGAACAGCAGAAGCGTTGAATAGGAGCGAAAAAAAAGAAAAGAAATCAAGATGAAATTCGCGTCTCGATTTCGTTTCGTATCGGTACGAACGTCGATTCGATAACAGGTCATCGCTATTGAGCGATTGAGATTATAGGCCACGTAATGATCCTTATTAACGCGATATTAGTACACGTATCTGGCGAGTTGCACGCGTCGCGATTAGCGCAGAGAGCGCTGTTTCGTCCCTGACTATCAACCAACTTGTCTTTCCCTAGCTCTCTCTCTCTCTCTCTCTTTCTCTCTTACTCTCACTCTCACTCTCTCTTTCTCTCTCTCCGCCTGTTCGTGTCTCGCGACAAAATGCCTTTTGTCGGCCGCTGTAGTGGCAAACATGCATTTAACTTGGCAAGCTTCGTTGCATGCGAAACCGACAGAGCGAGAGAGAAGTGGTGGAGGCGCGGCAGACGATGGAAGGGGGGACTGGATGGACGACAAGGGTCAGCTGATAGCGGACAATTATCTCTCAGTTTAACCCGAGCGATCCGAGCCTCTGGCCGCGATGTTGTAAAACATTATTGTGCACGCAGTCGGTCGATCGTCCAGGGAAATCGGGTATCAACCTCGCCGAGGTTCAGGATATATCGTGGTCCCGCTGGTTGCGATTGACGAGAAATGTCGACGAAAGTTTGTGATTCGAAAAAGGAATGCTCGTCGACGAGTTTTTCGACGAGGGTTCGCCGAACTATCCCTCCACGGTTTCTACACGATTTCTCGGAATCCGTGAAATTGTCGAAATCTTCGTGGCTTTGATCCCTTTCACGTAAGGTGAGACGATAAGCGATATATAAACGATAAAAGTAAAGAAGGGACAACAAATTGGTTGGATACGGTTTTTAATAGTGTTCGCGAGCGGACGATTTATTTCCATCTTGTTTTATCGGTGCAACTTTTGCGGTATTATGTCATCGGTTGGATTAGATTCCGCGACGTGGCATGGCGCGCCATTAACCTATCCCCTTGTTTTTCGCTGTAAACTGCAAGCTGTCAACGATAAGGACTGGCGGTTTTCGTGGAAAGAAAGATATCGCGTAACGTCGATAATCGAAATTGGTGCTCGATAATTTCTCGTTTCGAAGAACGTGTCGGTGAGTTTCTTTTCTTCTTTTTTCTTTTTTTTTTCTTTTTTCCTTTTTCTAATTAATTTTAAAGCAAAGAGGCGAAATCAATTCGCAATCGCGAACGCGAAATCGTTCCGAACGAATCCGTACGATTCGTCGAAACATCGTCTTTCTGAACCGTGACTGTTAAGAAAATAGCTTGGTCAGAATCTGTTCTCGTGGTCCACGCTGTTCCACTAGTTTCCACCGAGGTCGAGATTTCTCGTTAGAGGTTAATTCGCGCAATTGAGGCGAGGTTGCCATCTTAAAACGATTCTCCCTTCTCCCCTCTGCTCTCTGTCGGCCGCCGTTCTCCCCTTGGAAACGGTTTCCCATTTCGGATACCAGGTCTCCACCCTGGCCTCTCTCTGTGACGCGACGGGGAAACAAGCGGAAACGGATGCAGGGGCACGGAGGAAAAGCCACAAAGAGACAGACGCGGTTAGCGATAGCGGTGCAACAACGGGGCCGTGTAAAATACGAGGCTGTGTAAAGAAACAGTGGATATGAACGCGGCAAGAATTCCTTCTTTTCCTTCTCCCTCCCCTCTTAATTCCTATCCCGTTTTATTCCGTAAAAAAAAAACGTTCTTGGCACGCTCGTTCGTAGAAATCTTGTCCTAATAAAATTTTTCGCGGAAATACAAAATTAATTCTCGGTCGAAATCAAAAGCCTTTTGAAAGTATCCGAGTGTTCCGCGAGACGTTGGCAAAGATTGGTCTCGATGCACGGGGGCGGGGGAGAGGAGAGTAGTTTATGCTCTCTGAAATTAGTTTGTACACGGGAAATTTATCATAACCACCCCACCCTGGCCTCGCTCCAGTAACGTAAATACTATCGTAAACGTGCAGCCGTCGTTTAGCGAGAAGCTGTTTCTCCTCGGGAAAGAAGGAGGGGAGGGAGGGAGGGAGAGGGGTTTTGGACCGGGGTCGATGTTCACCTATTCGGTCGGATTTCCATCCAACCGACGACCGAGAATCCGTCGCGTTGAATACTCGTCACGAAACTAATGGCCCATTTCCGCCTTCGAAGCAGCGCGCCTTCCACCGTTTCTCCAGCTTGCTTTTCTTTCGCCTCGAGGCCCTTCCTCTCCTCTCCTCTTCCTTCCTTCCTTCCTTCCTTTCTTCCTTTCTTACCCCTTTTCTGTTTTCTCCTCTCCGCACTTTTCGACGATTAAGAGGGGTGAAAGGAGGAGAAGGAGGAGGAGGAGGAGGAGGAAGCGTTGGAGGCAAAGGGCACCAGCAGGGACGGTGAAGAACAATTAAGTGGATTATCTTTCGTGATTCTCTAAAAAGAACGGTGTCGAGGGGGGAGAGGGAGCGCAACGTCGACCTCTCGTTCCCTTTTGATAATTGTCCTGGGGAGTAGATGTTGACCTTCGCGTGACGGCCTCCTTCCCTCGTTCCCAACCAACTAGGAAAGATTTGTCTTTATCGGTGGTTTCATTACGCGGTTTACCAAGGATGCCGCTCGATTCGGCATTTCCTTATTACAAATGCCTAATAGATAGATCGTAACGATCGCTCTCGCCCGTTTCGAATCTTCTTTTAGCTACTGCCGTTTCCTCTCGAATCGTCATTCGAATCGCTCGATTTGATTTTTCTTTTTTTTTTTTTTTTTTTTCTAATTCACTTTACCGTCGCGCGATCGATAGCAAACTCTCCGGTCGAAAGTTACTCGCTCGAACGATTCTTTTCGAAACTTGGGGTTTTATCGCGTTCCCGACTCTTTTTTTCGAAAACAGGGTGATGGGAACAGATCGAGACGGGAGAGATTGGAGAAAAATAGCGAAGTACGAGGATAGGATTGGGAGAGGCGAGCGAGTGGGGGTGGAGGAGTGTGTGTGTGTGTGTGTAGATGGAACAGTTCAATGGCCGGAAAGCACAAAACCGATGCTGGAAATAATGCCTCTCGTAGCGTAGTGTGCGGAAAAATCGCAACATGGCTGTCGCGTCACATGCACTTTTCACTTTTTTTTTTTTTTTTTTTTTCGCGATTTCTCCGCGATTGATTGACAGATCATACCGTCCCGGCCGGCGTATCTCCTCTCTGTCGGGTAATATTCCAGGCCTGGAGCTGTGCTACCTCCGTGTCGTTTCGTTTCGCTTCGAGAAAAATTCGACCGGCTGTCCGGCTTACTGACAGATCGTATTTACGAATGCTCGGGTAAACTTTACACGCGTTTCGACCATTAACCATGCGTGATTTAGATGCCGCTCGAGAACATTTGCATCATCGTTCCTATCGCGCTTCTCTCCGTTCGTCGATTATTCGAATTAACGCTTTTACTTAAAAATTTCGGATAAATCTTCATATCCAAGTCGTATCGAGAGCGCGACCCGAGATCTCGATCGTTTTCTCCCTCGACGCGTCACCTCTTAAGCGCCTCTTTTCAACGAGAATTTCCCGCGTTCGGGGGAAGAAGAGGAGTTGCGCGGAAGGAAAGCGTTAGAAGTGAAGGGGAGAGAGTGCAAAGATGGCGAGAGAGGAGGCGATCTCGGATCTCGGATCCAATAAAAAGTAATGGTTCGAAAATCGAGGATGGGATCTTTGGCGAAAAGTCGCCCCGACACCTTTTAAAAGACCCGAAGACGGACGTTCCTCCATCCACCCCTTTCGTTTTTCCCCGTTTTAGCTTAAATTCGACGCGACACGATTGCACGATCAACCTCTGCTCGCGTAGAGGAGGCGAAATTAAGCTGCAGTTAAGTGCAGGCCTGATGAAAAATTAACGGTGACTGGAGGCGCGGATTTCCTTCGTTTCGCCTTTATGGAAATTTCGGGACGAAATTGTTTTCGTCCTTCCATCCCTTCTCTCCCCCCCTCCCCTCCGTTCGTCCATCCTCTCCCCCCCCTCCCTCCCACGCTCTGCTTCGCACAAACGAAATTGTTTTCGAAATTTATTGGAACAGACTGCACCGCTGCTCGTCATCCCCGTGACGATTTGTGATCTCGATCCGTGCTATTGTACCGACTACTCCATCCTCCATCGTCCTGTCGTGGATATTGATCCACGATGTTTACCCGCGATATATTAATTGTGAAGAAAGTTTACGAGGCCGTTAATCGTTGAAACGTTTCGATTATCGTCGTAACCGGTCGTCTAACTAAAACGATTAAAAAATAACGATAAAATTTTGTAAGATTCACTTCTACGATTCTCCTCGACGGTCGAGTCGAACGGATATCGAATACGGTTTCCAAATATACGATAAAGCGCGATAAAATTGCGGTATCGATATTCGCCTTATCGCGAATCAATCACCTGATAGCGGAGAGACTCGTTTCGACGATGCGAACGGATGCCTCGTCATTTTCGCGTTACCGTCACTCCCTCTCCCTTCCCCCCCTCCTGATTGCCTTTCAATTTTCGCATCTAGACACGTCGTCGATCGAGATAATTAATTCGAGAAACTCGATGATCATCTTTTTTTTTTTTTTTCCTTCGATAGACCCGACTCGAGGCACAATTTCATTCCCAATAATCATCTTTCCCCCGCGTTGAATTGAAAATTTCCACCCGTAACTTTGATCCTTGGAGGGATGAAAGAGAAGCAGAAGGAAGAGTCGTGGCCAATAGTTATCAGACGCATCGTATCCCGGAAGAATTTTTCCTTGCACGCGCTCTTCTCTTCTCTTCTCTTCTCTTCTCTTTTCCTTTTCTCTTCGTCCTTCCCTTTCCACATCGTGGAAACCGTCGTCGCGTTCTCTTTCCGTTCCTCTCTCTCTCTCTCTTTCTCTCTTTCCTCCTTTTTCTCCCTTTCTCCTCTCCTCTTCACATTTATCCGTGGAAAGCTCGAGCCGCCCATTATCGCTGGAGAGATAATTAAAAAGGCAGGCGCGGGAGAGATATTAAAGCGTCGAAGAGAGGGTAGACCCTTATCAGCGGGCCGTTATCGTTCGACGGCCATGTTGGGGTCGACTTCTTCTCATCCTCTTTGCATCTCTGTTTCTTTTCGCCGTCTTCTCATTTTCTCTCTCTCTCTCTCTCTCTCTCTCTCTCTCTCTCTTTTCTCTTTTCTCTTTTCCCCTCTCTTTTTTTCTCTCATCTAGGTACAATACTCTTTTCATCTTGAAAGTATTTCTCTCTTTCCTCCTCCCCTCGCTTCTCTCCACGCGATATCGATAATCGTTTAACGGTCTAGATTATCGTATCGAATACCGGTATCGTCCCATGCTCGGCGGCAGTCGGAGATTAGAAAACACGGTCGTCAATGTTTCCGATCGATAGCTTATCCGATCGACAGCGTTCTTCGACGCTTTTCGAACATGGAAAGAATTAATGCTTACCGTTTCTTCCGATTCTTCCTTGCCTCTCGCTAAATACCTGCCTATCACCACTGCTCATTTTATTTTTTTCACCATTTCCAAACGAATAGTGGTTGAGGATGGGGCTCTTTCGGATGAGCAAAAATAATTTATTTATGCTCAAGTGTGTGTCACGTCGCCTTGTGCAACGTGAGCGAATTCGCGAGATTCTCGCGAGATGGTGTAAAAGAAGGTAGGAAAATGGAAGAGATCTCGAGGGGGGAAGGAACCGGTGACGTCACGCCAGCCGCTCGACATCTTATTTCCTACGTGTCCGATACCGTACGAGTAATCTACAAAAGGAACAGGCCAGAACGGGCCAGCTGCTTTTCCTCCTCCTCCTCCTCCTCCCCCTTTTTG